TATATCCACTGAAGGGAGCCGTGCTGGGACAGCAAAGAAAGGCTCAGGAAGGCAGTGAAAGCAGGTCTTTTTGTACCCACGCTCAGAGAGCAGGCAGCAGTGCTTCGTGGAGAACATCACACGAGACCTTACAGGATGCTCCTTCCCCTTGCAGGTCATGTCCTTCCCTCTCCCGTGTCCTCAGGGAAGGTTGTGGTGCAGGAATAAAGAGCTACTGGGATTTAAGGCTGACATTTCACCGCTTCCTGCAGGAAAGTGCACGCAGCTTGCAGGTGGATACCACCGAACAAGCCGCTTCAGAGCCTCGGCAGGCACTCTGCTCGCTGGACCATGTCCTCGGGGCTCTGAAGCAGGTGAGCCTTTCACAGCAGGAAAGGAGCTGCTTGTGGGAGAGGAGCTAACCGAATTGGAAAATGCTGTGACTATGGCATAGCCTTAGCCATGTAGGAAACAACTGCATTTCACTTCAGCTACTTCCAAGTGGCTGGCGTTTCCAGGACAGTTGAATTCAGAAGGAGCAGATTTGGGGGGGAGGCTGGGCCCCTTGGCTGGGGACATAAATCCAGGAATACACTCCAATTCCAAACCTATAGCCTGACCACAGGACTCGACTGGCAGAGGTGACCTCCAAGGGTGTGATATTTCCACAGATTCTTCCTTTTACTCTAAGCAATGATTCCCCCAGCAGCTTGCATGGCTAAAGGCAGCAAGCTGGCTCTCACTCCCAGCCCCACCATAAGAGCTCACGGCAGAAGGTGCAAATTGAGAGTGGCTTCGAAAGAGGGAGACACAACAGTAAGGAGAGGGACTGCAGCAGAGGAGCCAAGAGCTCTGAGCATCTCCCAGTGATGTCTTTGCGGCCTAGGTACCTCTCTGATCCTAGAGGTGCCAGGCCAGCCACCCTGGTGTCTTCGACACCCCCTTTGCTCACCCCACCACCCTTGATCAGCAGGCCCACCTTCACAGGTGACAGCAGCAGTGGGATGGAGACAAACCTGAGCTCCTCTCTTTCTCCCTCCCCATCCCCTTCACACTACAGCTCCAGTCGTGAAGTCAACATAAGGGGCAGGCAGGTGGTTTTGTCTTCCTTGTGCCAGCAGCCGCTGTGTCGACAATGAAAAGCCAGGGAGGAATCAGCGCAAAGCTGTAAAGTGTGGGGTTTTTTTTTTCTCTCTCTCAAATAAAAGTCCATTAATAATCAGCAAAGCATTTAATGAGAGGCTAGAAGGAGTTCTCAGCATTAAGAGGGGATTAAGGGTAATCTTCATCGCTTATGCCTCCTTGCTGCTTGGAGGCGGTTCTGACCTGCTCTTGCCAAAAGGGCCAAAGGTGGCTAGAAGCGAGGTAAGGCTGGGACACACAGCCCTGGGGAATGTAGGACTGCAACTCACCTGATGAGGGGTCCCTGCGGGAAGGAAACAAGACACAGGTTAAGCATGATCAGTTTTGAAGCAGCCATTCACGTTTAAAAATCATTATTTCATCTTAATTAATCAGGGCTTCCCCTTAAAGAGGGGGCTGCAATTTCTGCTGACATGAGAGCATCTTTTCATCCGAGCACACAGCTCTAATTCAAATTTGGCCAAACAGATCCTCTGCCAGTTTGCAATGTGTAATTTGCTCCTGCAGGCATCACAGCCTCTGCGCTGGGATGAAGCTAAACCGCTAAACCAGAAATCTTGTACTGTATGGGTCCCTTACAGACCAGACAAGGGATGTGCTGTCCTCAGTGTCTCTGGAGTAAACATGCATGAGAAAGATTTGATGCACAGCATGTTCCCTGCTATCTCACCTGCAGCAGGAAAGGAATAGCCTCCAGGGCCATCCCACTCTTGGTGCCCCCTCCCAGCACACCAGCAGCTTCCCTGGCTGTTACAGGCACAGAAGCAAAGTTTCCAGGAGTTGCACAGGACTCTAGAAGGAACCAAACATTTGGATTTGGCACCTCAAGGCCCTGCTAGAGATGCTGACCCCCTACAGCCAGCTGGGGAACAGAAATTACATCTCCTCCACGTGACCTCAGCTAGGCTGGCACTACAAAGAGCCGCAAGTGGCCCACGGAGCCAAAAGCGGTGTGGAGTATCTTGGAACAGTGATTAGATTTTAGAAAGTCATGATCTCATCATGCATCTCCTGGGAGTGAAGAGAAAAGCATCCTCATGGATTAAAATTTTGGTTCCAAATTATTCACTCAGCTCTGGGAGCAGGAAACTAATTTTCCTGGCTTTGTATTTCTGTCAAACGCTGTGCTTAATTCTCTTTTCATATTGCTTTTATACTGGTTTGACACCATTGATTTACGTTTAGTTACTCCTAATCTGTGGTAGTGAAAGGAAAGGCATGCTCTGATCTGCTGTCCCAGATTTCACTGTATTATCTGCTGACTTCAACTACCCTGTCTCTCTCCCAGGTATTACTATGAAGGGGGTTTTCTGGAGTGCTCTTGACCGTTCACACCAGCTGATTTCTCCCCTGACTACATTCAGAGTCCTGTTTTGCAGGCTTCAAGCACTGAGTTGCAGCTTTGCCAAGTACTTCCCTTCTGCCTCGCAGCCCTCCACCCTCTCTCACCAATTCCCAGAGAGGTTGTTTGCTCTTCTCCATCTCTGCTAGGTCTTCCCAACTCCCCCACATTTTATGTCATCAGGAAACTTAGACGCTTTTAATGCTATGCCTCCCTCAAGGTCACAAATTTCAAAGGAGACTCGGGCACCAAGTGCGGTGTGCTGTATGTACCCTCTCCCCAGCCTAAAGCTTTTTTCCTGATACTCTGCTCTCTGTGTCTGTGAGGTTAATTCATCTCTTTTCAAAAGCCTCCTCAACCTAAACTGGGTAAATCAGTGGTAGCTCCTAAAAAAAATTTAGCTCCTAAAAATATCCAGGAAAGACAATCATGCCAGGATTTAACTGTACAGCTGTACTTTGAGAAGGGCGAAGTGCCTGGCTGCAGCTGGAGACTGTTTTGTCTCCCATCTCTCAACTCCGTCATGTCCTCCGTATGTTCTAGCAAATTCATCAGGCATGACTCACAGACCTTCCCTGTACGCATTCCCATCTGCTGACTGCCCCTTCCTAAAATTAGACCCTACTCTTGTTGGCACACGGGTTCAGTCACGGGGGAAGATGAGGAGCTGCAGACCCACGTCCCTTCCTTGTGTCACAGCAGGGAGCTGAGTCCAGAAGGGACTGGTGTTCAGGCTAAGGAGGACGATCCGTCTCGGCTTGTCCTTGGCCCTGCTGCTGCAGTGGAGAGTGAGGATGATAAATGTTTCTCTTCTCCAAGAGCTGGCTGGAGACCACTGCCTCATTTCATGAAAGCCAGCCCCTGAGAGACAAGAATGCTCTGGGTCTATACCGACTTGTCATTTACGCCAGTGAGGAAGGACATCTCACGCTATGAAATCCTGGAGACCATGAGTGCTTGCTGCTCCTCTTTCTGAAGTCCCAAATTTGTGTGAACTTAGCCATGCACCTTTCAGCAACCTTTCTGCTCACTGAAGGACTCACTAGAATCAGTCTGGGTCCCAACGGCTTGTCCAGACATCTTATTCCTAAGGGTCTCAGTGGTGAGTGTGGGTCTCCCAACTGCTGGGAAGGGGAAATCTGAAGGCTGGACTCTGGGTGTTATTTGGGGAGAAAAGAAAGGAATAAGGTCATCACTCTGCTAAGTGTAGAACAGCACTGACATTCAGCTGGGGAATTTTGTGTTCCCGTTATTTCCTCTGCTCCTGGGGGAACATTCACCAGGAGTGAAGTCAGTTGTTAGGAGACACTGACACTACAGCTAGAATATTTGCGGCCACATTCAGGCGGCTGGGACTGACTATAAATCCAACAAGTGTTACTGGAGACGTGCACACATGCATCCTTCTTTTACTGTCGACCTCAGCCCCGGCCCCAGAAGGGCAGTGTTGTGCAATGGTTACAAACCAATAAAAGTATTATTCTTTGATGAGAGTCAGAAAAAATGACTCCTCACACCCTACTGACCTCCTGGGTGTAGTCGGAGTCCTAGCAGTCTCATTAGCCTTTACTGCCTTTGGGTTCAGGGCACAAACTGTGTGAGATTGTGAATTAAATTTGACCAGAGGGAACAGGAGTCCAACCTGCTGCACAGAGCACTGGAAGGACTGTGCCAAGCCTACAGGGTAAAACCTTCCCCTTGAGATGCCAATAAGGGCTTTGCACTATGCAGCTCCCTTGGGAAGAGGCTCCTGGTGAGGGTGTGCAGGAGGGCAGGAGCCCAGCTGGCACATCACAGCCCAGGTCACTTTGGCAAGGCTGGCAGCTACGCAGATCCACCCTGCAGTTGGAAACTCCCGTGTGCTCTGGAGTTGGGAACAAACACTAAACATGGAGCCTCGGGCTACTGCTTTCACGCCTTGCCCTTTTCACATTACAATGGTCCATCAGTGCTGTTACAGCACGTTCTGTCCTGTTAGCTGTAAGCGGATGGTTGCTGGATGTCCTCCGACCATCTGAGAGACAGCCCATCAGCTGCAAAATGTGTATAAAAAATTTTCTGTCAAACTAACAGGGAAAAGCAAAAGAAACACTCATTTACTGCTCCTAAATTTCAGACCTCCAGAGTGCTCATCAAAGCATTCAGTTTTCATACTTCCAAGGCAGATTTTGCATTTCCTCCCAGCTGTCACTGTCAGACCGTAATAGGAAACAAAAGAGAAAATGTGGTGCGTGGCTGGGAAGGATGAGATGAATGAGCTATTCGGTGGTCTGCTGTGTTGTCAAAAGAAACTCTTTCCAAGGGTCTGTTATTTCACACGTGTCTAATGCAACTCATATGCTCAGCAAAGACCTCCTAGAACCTCACTGGTAATTAAGACATAGAGTACCTGTAATTTCCAGGTCCCATACCCAGAACCGTATACAGGCAGGACCCTGAGCAAGGTCCTTTCCCACTCTCTTCCTTGCCCTTGCTCTGTCTCCTGCCTGCAGCTGTGAGTTTGCCTCCGTAAAGGCTCTGCTCTCCCTCCTTGCAGACAGCCCGTCGGCTCCAGTAAATGTCACAGTCAAACACCTGAAAGCCAACTCAGCCGTTGTGACTTGGGATGTTCTGGAAGATGAAGTTGTCATTGGATTTGCAATTTCCCAGCAGGTACGGTGTCTACAGTTACCCAGTTTTGGTCACGCTCATCTTCACCCCAGGTCCCCTCAGTTTCCAAATTCTCTTGCTGCAGTTTAAGCCCATTCCTTCTCGTCCTGTCCCTCCTGGTCTGGGATGGGACTTGGCTTCCCGTCCTCTTTGCAGCAGCGCTTCATTTATTGGTAGCTGCAGAGAGGAAAGGGTCCGATGGTCTCCATGTCCATGGTGGACAGGGCAGGAAGCAGTGGTCTTAGATGACAGCAGTGCACACGGGAGGCCTCTCCACCACTCTGTGCTCTCCTCTCTCGGCTTCCAGAAGAAGGACGTGCGGATGCTGCGCTTCATCCAGGAGGTGAACACCACCACCCGCTCCTGTGCCCTCTGGGACCTAGAGGAGGACACTGAGTACATTGTGCATGTCCAGTCCATCAGCATCCAAGGCCAGAGCCCTGCCAGTGAGCCAGTCCTCTTCAAGACCCCCAGGGAAGCTGAGAAACTAGCCTCTAAAAATAAAGGCAAGTGTGGGTGAGTTCCTATGTGGCCCCTGGGACACCCAGGCAGCGTAGGGCTCTGCAGAGAGGAAAGCAGTATCCTGTGCAATGAGAATAGCTGGGTTAAACACACGCAGGACTGAGTGCCCTCTCACAGCCCCATGTGGACAAGCGGGATGCCCTGAGTGTACCCAGCAGACAAGGCTGATGGGTGCACAAAGCCATAGGCAGATGCTGCCAAAGGTTGGCTGTTCATTTCTCCCGTTTCAGATGAGGTTTAACAGGCAAAATGAGGAGAAGGTTTCCAGACTGGGAGCTGTGCATCCAGCATCCTTGCAAGTGGAGAATGCCAGGGGAAATTCCTGAGCAGCCTGTGAATTCATGTGGAACTAGACCCTTGGATAGCACTGGGCACACCACCACTGTGCTCACAGGGCACTTGGGGAGATTTGCTGAGCCTCCTGTGCTTGGATTCCAGGACAGCAGGGGAAAAAAGTACCCAGAGACTCCCACTTTTCTTACATTTCAAATACTTCTGCCAAATCACAGAAAGCTGAGGTTGGAAGGCACCTCTTGAGATCACCTACTCCAAACCCCTGCTCAAGCAGGGTCAACTAGAGCAGGCTGTCCAGGATCATGTCCATTTGGGTTTTGAATATCTCCATGGAGGAAATCAGGCACTTCCTCATTGGCAGCTCCTTCACTTGTTCCTCTAAAGCCAAAGCAGATAGTTGAAGATTTTCTGTCAGCAAGAATCTCTGCTACAAAAAGGGCTAGGGAGTCCAGGGGTCTGGGATCTAAAGGGTTACTGCCTGCCTACTGAGGACACAGCCTGTTGCAGGGCTTTTGGCCATGGTTCCTAGGATGGTGTGAGTTCTTGACTCTTTCTCCTAAAATGATTTGGTGTCTGTAAATACTGAATTGCTGTTCATCTGAAAACACTAAGAGGAGCACTGCTTCCCTCCCTGGAGGCCTGAACCGTAATCTTCTTAGAGCTTTGAAGCCGAGGAGGCGCATTACGCCCTGCAAAAAGGCTCTACTCATTTCTGAATCCCATGGCTCCACTGAAAAATATCATGCCAGGCTCCACACTCCTGAGCTGGGAGAGGAACTACTGAAGCATGCAAGGCTTTGTGACAGGCGCAGACGGCACTAACAGCAGAGAGAGAGCAGACCGAGCCGCCACGGGGCCAGATAACATGTGGACTTACCCCATGGCAGCTCCTCTGGGGTAATTGTTGATCCTGTCTCACTGCTCCTCCCTCGCCCCATCTCCTGCAGGTTGTCACAGGCAGTTGCTGCAGAGCAACTGATGCTCTGAAAGTTCAAAGCACAGCTCGTGCTGCTGGCATTACTGACGGGCAAGGACTCTCTCCCTGCTAGCTTTGACCCTGACGCACTGATGATTTGAGTCAAAGGCACTGTTAAACCAGTGTCTAGCGCAGCCTGAGCCATGCCGTTAGGTTTCATGATCTCTCTTTCCCCTTGTGCAGATGAGGTGACAATGAAGGAGATGGCGAAGAAAAACCAACAGCTGCGAGCAGGGGAAATTCTCATCATTGTTGTCGTGTTGTTTATGTGGGCAGGTCAGTTCAATCTTTCTGTCAAAAGCATGTAATATCTCTAGAGCCTGCTGGATTGCTTGGTTTGCATGTGTCATCATGTAAGACCTGAAAAGAAACCCTTTCTCCCATAAAGAGTACTGCACATTCAGCTGTGAGGGCACTTCTGTTCCCTCTGCAGCATCACAAGTTGGGCAGTGCCAAAAGCAGGTGAATCAGTGGTCTGATCTGGTCCAGCAGGAAGCAGGTGATGGACTTGATGAACCAATTGCCTAATTCCCCATGGCTAATCCTGTAATCTCAATTCTTCCAGAATGCACTGATGATAATGCCCTCAGCCATCCAACAGGATGCCTCAAGCCCTTCAAATGATACAGGTCACTGTAATTATCTGGCTATTATATGACTCCAACTCTCATGCAAAACAAATTTAAGAGTCTCGCTCGCAACACGCACTATTATATATACACTAAAACCCACTTCAAAATCAATTAAAATAATGGAAGCACTGAAAGAACAAATGGCCCCAAACATCAAAACACCAATAAAACCAGACCCTCTCAACATTCCCTATTAAAATAATAGGAAGAGGATGGACATCAGCAGAAACATATTAACCGAAAGGAAGGAAAAGTCTACATGAGCTTGGGACGGTGAGGGGAGGAAGGACTAGCATTAGCTGAAAGCTGCTATCCCGAAGGGTGCTTTGGAGCCACACTTTTGGCAGTCTTTTGAAATTCCACCCTAGTCCTCCTTACACTTTGCAGCCATTAATCCTTTTAATCCAAGCAGAGCCTCTGTTACAAGATGGCTACTGTAGTATATGATTTTGTAAGCAAAACCACATGTCCAGCTGTAGCTGGGAGCACCCAGTGCTGTGGAAGGTGCAGTAAAACCATCCTAAGGCCACTTTGCTATGGGATGCGATAGGCGTAGCTAGGCACATACATTAACACAGCCTCTAACAGAGCATCAGATAAATGTGCTCCTTCAAGATGAAGATCCCTCACTATGGCTTTCTGTAATGTGTACAAATATATAAATTAAATTTCCAAAGAGAACCAAGAGTTTTCCGACATGAGTTTGGGACCACATTTCAATAGAGCTTACAGCAAATTGTACCTAGGACAGATCTCACTCATATGTTTTAAGCTAGCAAATGGGGAGAGAAAAAAGCTTCTGACTCCTGCTCCATCAGCTTAGCATGTCTGAAGCGGCTGTAACCAGCCCTTCAGCTTGTTCAGTTTTGAAATTACATGCATGAGTTAATGGGAAATAAAGTTTGCACATGTTTGTTTTCTATTTAGAGCCCCAGCCTCCCTGGCTGCCAGTCAGCTGGTGCTCCTGCTGCAACGTAAAACATTAATGAAACAACATTTGCTCCCTGCGAGTCACAGAGCACATTGCCCAAGGGGGAATGGTTCAGGTGACCCAAGGAAATTGGCAGGAAGGGAAATTAGCACTATGGTAAATCTATGATCCATAAAAGACAACCTTTGCCACTCAGTATTTAGTCCTCTTGTCCCAGTCAAACCACTTTTCCACACACAGAGCACGTAAACAGTCACATGCAGAATTTTCCCAGGTCAGAAGAGAAACTCACCACAACAGTACTGAGCGGCTGATGACTTGACAACTTGTAGTTTCAGTGGTGAGCATAACGTTATGTCCTCTAAAGGTGCTGGTCTGTCACCTCTACTGCTGTAAACTGTAACAATCCTGAATTGATAGGGGTTGCATCAGTCTACTCCAACAGAAGATTTGGCCCATTTATACTAGATTCTGCCAAGAGGAGATACCTCCAGGGAAAGATGTGAATAGGAAACCAGTCAATGATCTGAGATCCATCACAAAAGAGGGGGATGGAGGCATCAACTGTGTCCTGTACAGTTTTGCAAGGTTTCTTACAAGTGAGTCCAGGTGACAAAGAATCAGATCCATGTATAGTATTTTTTTTTGCCCTGGAAAGTCCTGAGTTTACCATGCATTATTTGCATTTCCAGAGACTGGACAGCAATTATTGCTAAAGATGATAACCAAATGAAAACCTAAACTAAATCAAAATGTTTCCAAAACCTCTAGTCCATGATCTTTTCAGCATTTATGTCAAGTTTTAGTTGTGCACATTCAAATTTAAATGCCCTGCCACTAAAAACAATCATGAATAGTTACATGAAACAAGTGAACAACTGATTCATCTCCAACTGTAGTATAATATAAAACTCAGATCAGCATCGGAACAAAGAATTCGCTAATACCACAATTTCCCTTCTAGACAGATGACTTACATTTAAAAATGAAAGCGGATGGGGGGGAAAATCTCTCTACATCTAGTGGGTTTTTTACAAACTTTCACTATACAAAAACCTCTTTCCAGCTCTTAACCTGGCCTGGCCATAACCTGAATGTATGACGACGTTTTCGCAAATGCGAACTGGAACCTGTCTGTGCCCAGGGCTCTGAACCGAGATGAGACCCAAGCTCTTGCGCTGTCTGTCTTTCCGGTATTGTTCACAGCACTTTGCTTCTTTGTGCCTCAGTTTTACCATCAGAAATGACAGACGGTGTGACTGTGGCAGATGTTAACCTATCCTCCTAGGATCAGCCATTTGTTCACATACGCAAGAAAGAATTTGGACCACTGTGTTTATCAGTAACACCTGGGGGCAGCTGCCATAACAACACCTCACTTTATAAAGCAGTTTGCGATGATCTGGTGAAAACTTTACATATGTTTTGCTATTAGGGGAGCTGGAATATTTTTCAGTAAGGGAGAAGCAGCATCTGCCTGGGTCTGCTTAACCTCCATGTTTGGAATCTGCAGGCAGAGAAGTTATTTGGTCAAAATGTCACATAAAAGCTTCCAAGACAGACATTTGCAGTCTTCTTGCGCGTCATGGCTGCCTGCTTTTCGCTTCATGTGCCTGCGTGTGTGGGAGGAAATTTCCACCAGCAGCTTTTGCTGCCGTCACTGTTGCATATTTGCAGATGTTGTCCTGCTGCTCAAAAGGCCCTGGCTTGTATCACATGCAGGCAGGTATGGTACCTGCCTCTCATCTGCCAGCTCCAGCTCCTTCTCTTCACCCCAGAGGAGAAAGATCAGAGGACATATTTTCACTAACCAGAAATTCCAGGAGCTCCTGGGTTTGCAAAGCAAAGATCCCATTTAACCACACGGTTCGTGTTGATTGCTATCCAAATGTAGGGCTTAAAACACTTGTCCCATTTAATGACAGGGAAGTTGGAATATAATTAATCTTCTGTCCTTCTGTCTAACTAGTTTAGCATGGAATTAGGCATCGAGAAGGAAACAGCCAGAGGGCTGACTAGCTGTGTTAGAAAATGATCCTTAGGAGCAATTGTGAATGCTGCTGAGATCTCTACCAGAAAGCACAAAGCTGGCTGGCAAGCAAGGGATCTCTGATCTCTGCAGGCTCCAGGGGCTGAGCTCATTTGTGTGATCACTAATGCTTTTTCCTGTTAGGGGTGATCGCCCTGTTTTGCAGACAGTACGATATCATCAAAGATAATGAGCCAAATAACAGCAAGGAGAAAGTCAAGAGCGCCTCGGAGAACAGCACTCCCGAACACCAGAGCGGAGGGCTCCTCCGCAGCAAGGTGAGATGCTGCTGGCACGCAGTGGGGGACAGGGCAGACAATCAACTTCCAGCTGGGCCTCAGCTAAATTATCCAAAAAGCAGCCTCTGTTAAACATCCTCAGTCCAGCCTCCTCCCTCCAGCTGGGATGCAGAAGGAAAGACCCCTTCACATCCACCCATGCCAGTACCATGGCTTCGTTAGTGGTCCGAGCCTCCTAGACACATCAGGACACCAGCACTTTGCTCCTACCTCTAGATTATCTTACATGTCTATCAGTAAAACAGATTTCAATCCATTATTTCTGAAATATCTGAACATTTCTGGAAGAAGAATGCACTGAGCAATGCTGCAGTCCCTGAGCTGCTTGGGTCCTTACCCCCACAGCAGCCCTTAGGTGGCATGTGGTAAAGGGGATATTGCTCTTGCAATTAACTGAAGAGCTGATCAACAGGAGCATGGCTGGCAATACACATGATCTTAAGGTATGCCATATCCATAATGTAAGCAGACTCAGGACTATAATTTATACCAACTTATTTCAATTAATTTAACTTTCTTATGTTTCTATTCACAACTTGCACTCTGGCACACCCCCACCACTTTGTATTTACTTATTATTTGAAATAGTGCACTAATTCATGCTCATTCAGAAACAGACAGTGATGAACCATGCAACCCTAAAACCTCAACTCTGGCCCTTTTTCATTATCCTGAGGGGATGGGAACAAGAACTTTCAGAAAAACGAAAACTGACCAGCACACTGCACTCATCTCTGATGTGGTTTTTTTTTTTTTCTCTCTAGCAATTCCTATACATCCTTTCTTCCTTTGTCTCCTCTTCTCTTCTAGTTTCCAAAAAACAAGCCCTCAGTGAATATCATTGAAGCGTGACAGCCTGCCATCTGATAGATGGACTCCATTCCTCACTCTCACTTTCTGCCTCTGAGCCTTGATGACTAGGGAGGTGAAATATTGTTGGAGCAATCTGGAAAGAGACCTAGTGATTGTCACTTGCTGGCACACACCTCCTTGTCTGCGTTCTGCAAAACATCTGGCCAGAAAGAAAAATCCTGCAAAAAAACCCTGAAACCCAAACAAACAATTACAATGGAAAAGCATCAGTGAGACTGCTGCTGGTGATCCTGTACTGGACTCATGAATCACCTGGGCTGGAGCAACTTCTCACGCACTCCTCTCCACACTCACACTCTGTCTTCTGGAACAATTTTCCTGTCTCTGGAAACGTACAAGGGTTTGTTGTATCTTTATTTTGTCTCACTGTCACTACATCTTGACAGTATTAAGGTGAGCTCAGGCATCAGTCACTGTCACTCCTCTCCAAGCAAGAAAAGAGGAAAGCTCACAGCAGACATGACTAGCAACCAGATTTTGGCTGCTGTGTGCTCTCGGCTTGCTTTGTTCCATTGATGTGTGTTGTGTAACACGTCTTGCAGGTGGGTTTTTAAAACAAAAAAAAACTTAAAAAAGGCATACCCTAGTTTCCATTCCCACTGTGAGAACTTCCCTGGTTGTTCTCCAGTTAGGCTGCAGCACATGGTCTCCACCGTTGCTGTCTCTCCTATCTCACACTGGTGCTCTTCATCTCAGATAATCGGGGCATGCCGAACACTGAGGCACAGACCAACATGAGGGGACACCAGAAGCCATTATTTAGCTTCCAGGATAATTTCAACCATTTCCTCACAGTATTTTCAGCTGGGCCTGAGTCCACCACCAGTGTGATAAAAGGTCCATAAAAATGTAGCCAGTCAGCAAAAAAAGAAAAAAAGAAAAAAAAAAACCAAACTCATGATACTGGTTGCTATGCAAGGTCTCCAGTGGCAATAGCTATTTATTGCAAAACGCTCTTGCCTAAGGGACCTTTTTCTGAGGGCTTAAGTTCTTAAACTGCTTCTTTTAGTAGGGGTCCTGTGGGAAGGTCTGGTTCTCCTTACATGTCCTGTCTGCACTATTTTTGTGATGTTGTAATGCCAGGTATCTCCTGGAGGCAGTCCTCCACAAAAAGGATGACAATGAATGGGAAAGGGGCTGGGGTTCTCCTCTCTCTCAAGTGCTTGATGTTTGTAAGCTGACAGGATCCCTGGGATTGCTGGTGCTCTGGAAGCTGGTAGATGCAAATCCATCACATGGAAAAGATTTACTCTTTGTAGTGTGCCATGGGGTATCTGTATTTATTTAATTACTCCACAAGACCACTCCATATGCACTAGGGGATGAGGCAAGATCCTACTTGTTCCATCAAATACCAAGACAGGTTGGCCTGAGTCGGGTTTGAATCTCATTACAACAAAGCTGCACTCAGATGAGCCTGGTTCAAAAGTCCCTGCAAAGAAACAGGCTGGCAGTAACAAAGTTCAGCCATCTCTCCTCTTCCACTGTCACCAGCCTTTCCAAAACAGTTGATTTGAGAGAAAGGCACTAGGAAGTCTGCTTGCAGATGTGTTGGTGAAGAAGCAAGGGCTTCCCTTGTGCTGGTTTCAGAAGGCAGGCCAACCTCAAAGGTCTCTTCAGTGGATCCTTTGCCAGAACATACTCCTCCATCACCAAGAGGGAGAGGTCAACACCTCTGATACAGACAGAGCAATAAACATTTTATAATATACAATAAAAGATTAAAGGCATCTCTTGTGTCCTTGTAACATCTGAATTTAGTAATATTTCATCTTCACCCGTTTCAAGCAGAACACACAAAATAGCACAGGGGGACTTCCTCTGTATTTCCCAGGGACTACAGCATAACATGTTTTCCCAATGTCTGGGTATTGAAAACCAGAGAGGTTCACCAGAGTTCACTGTGGCTGCAGGATGAGGAGAAAAAAAAAAACTTGCAACACAAATAGCACTACAGCCATACCTAGCAAGATTCCTCAGACATGTCTGTTATCTCCTAAGAAAGAAATGTCATTTGGAATCCATACCCCTATAAAGGGAGATTTAGGACAGATGGTACAGCATGTGCAAAATGATAAGGGAGATGCTCTCTCATAATCCTAGAGCAGACAGCCAAGCAAGCAGCCCTCAGAAGCCTGCTAGTGAGGAAATTCAGCCTGGTGATTTGGCAGGTTTGGGGTGGGGGGATGTGTGTGTCTGTTTTTAAAGACAGTTGTCCCTCTGGGAATTCAGACCATATCCCCTTCTTTACAGTAACTGTTGTTGTTCCCTAGTGACAGGTTTAAACTATTGCTTTCCTAACAGAGACGTGCTCACTCCTTGTTTGGTAGAAAAGAATTAAAACATAAAGCGTCAGTGTTCACGCAGAGTTAAGTATTTGCACCATAATGGGGCAGGAGGTAAAAAGGGTTATCATTATGTTCCATTACTGCAGGCTTTAAAAGTAAGGTAATAATGCTAATAGTGAGAAGAAACAAATGTAGTCTGGCAGCAACTCAAGTCATCAGAGAGGGACTCCAAGCTATCCAGTTCCAGTGATTCTCTTAAAGGAAATGTTTTCAGCAACTCTGAAGTGATGTAATAAGTCCACACTTTAGGAAAAGGTGTTTGCCATCATAAGAGAAGAAAGTTACTTAAGATCCTACTTTTCTGAGGGTCATAAACATGAAAGCTTTAACTGCTGTTTCAGTATCCACTTCCACTGTAACCCATGAGAATCAGACACAATTAAGGCTCTGGGCCTGTATGACTTCAAGCCTAAGTCCATCTTTAGAAGAGATACCTCATTTTCGTCAACAGTTGCCAAAAGATACTCCTGAGGTGTTTTACAGTCAATAAAGGGAAGAGATCGAGAAAAAAAACCAAACCAAGACGGCGCTGAGGAAAGTCATGCTGGACCACAGAAGAATGCACCCTTAAAGGCCACCCACATTTCCCGCATGTTTTTGCCTGGCTGCTGATTTTGACTGGTTGCTGGAAGCAGGAGCTAAGAAAGAGAGGTTTCAATAAATACTAAAAAGCAGCAAGTGGGAGTGGGCTGGCATGACAGGGATCCCAGAGAGCCCTGCAAGAGCTGATTCCCCGTTGATCTCAACAGCAAAGGAAAGCAGCCCTCCAGGCGGCTCTGCCGATGCCGTGCAGCCCTGCGTACTATCCTGTTGATTTCCGAGAATCAACTAAGCAAAGACTATGGGCACAATAAAGAGCAAGAAGCTGAAAACAGAACCCTTTGCCAATATATGCAGTGCGTGTTTGAAGTTAAGCACCACTTGCCTTCATCCTTTCAAGCAGTGTAATATTATGCCTACAAGTACAATTTAGCCAACATATTCCTCCCCCACGAGTTTAGTAAAATGGAGCCGCAGGAGGCGGTGTGGAGCAAACAATCCTGCACAGCATGTCCTTCCAATTCACAACACACAGCACCATACACTTCTCACCACCTCCCTCTGTACAACAAGCAGCAGCACAAGCTCTGTTCTCTGTCTCCTCAGAGGAAAATGAGAACATTAGGCATTTTATTCCCTGACAGTTCAATAGCATCAGAGGAGGAAACACCTACACGACAGAAAGTGTTAGTATAATCTCAGCTGGTAATGACTTTCTGGAGAAGATGTAAATGGAGAGGAACAGACTGCTAATGCCAGTATTTGCCAAAGACATTAAAGGTTACATCACTCAAGAGTGTATGACACAGCTGCACATCCATTTTGCTGATAAAAATATGGCAATTCATTGACTGAGTAGTCAGACTTCACTTCCCAAGGAGAGAGTTGAAGATTATACCATATGTTATACCAAATGTAATTTCCCCAGATTTGCAGAAAAGCTTCCTAATGACATGTAATGAGCTATTACTGGCTAGTCTGGAAGCAAAAGCCTAGCTGACCAAATTCAATCAGCTTTCTAGCATTTGTTAAAAAACTGTATGATCAACATGCTTGTTACGCTAAAATATCTTCTGTTTCCTCCACAAATCTGGTGTCTATTAAATTGTCTGATGATCTTATAGATTAAAATTATTATGTTCCTACTCGTTAGTGCTTTAGCCCACACATCTCGAGGAAAGCGAGCTGGATTCTCTCAGCTCATGCATCAGCATCAATTTTGTTAACTAAGTTCCAAATGAAGAATCTTTATTATTAGCGACAGAGCCAGGAAAGACACAGCTTGAATTTTAGATCCCAGATGGAGTCAGCAAAGTTGGCAGCCAGAAAAGCCATCTTTTTGCTCGCAATCTGAACACATTGGACACGGAGTCACTGAGTGGCAATAATGACAGAGCCCCACGATGCCATTTGACACTTTACAGCACATCGCTGTCCTTTTTAGCTGACAAAACCCCCCACACTTAGTGCCACCAACTGCTAAATATAACCTATTTATACCATCCAGACCTGTTCTGCAGAGGATGCAACCAGCATGGTACTAGACATCCTCTCAAACCAAAGGGAGAATATTATCAGCTTCCACTATTTCACATTTCAGGACATAACTTCTTCCTGTTGTTTAGAATTACCTTACAGCACAAAAGTAGGGAAGAGTTGGTTAGCTTTTGAGAGGACAGCAGAAAAAGCCACACAGTGGTTTAATTTCAGTCTCATTGTTTTCTAGCTGCTGTTGTTAGACTGCGATACATTGATGAATGTTATTAAATTTTTAATTGTAAGACATTTCATCACAGAGCTCACGCAGGGCTTGCACAAAACAGTCTCGTCCAGTCTTATCTGATGTTGCTGGATTCTACTACAGCAAAAATCATAAACAGAGCCCTTGGCTACACTCTAGCAGCAAACACGCAGTATGTCCTTCCATGAAGGCTTAATACACAATCCCTCCCTCCCCTTGCAGTATCTCTACTGTTCAGCATATATGAATCACGGTTGCAATGTCAAAAGAATGAAATCTTCAACAATAAGGCTGCCCAGAAGCCTAAAGCCTTTTACAAAGTGCAGAGCTGCTCCATGGCAGTGTTCATTCATGTGAGAGATTTAGATTCACAAAGACCACAAAACACACGTTCAGGAAGAGGCACCCGCTTCTGCCTGAGGTCCTCCAGC